GTATGCTGGCTTTTCCTCGCTATAAAGGAGGCACAGAATAGAGGGAAGTAGGGAGGTGGGGGAGGAGGGTCTCAAGTGTAAAGTCTGTAATCACTTTCCCTGGCTTTGGAAATAGCAGCAGTTTTGCTTGTAGTTGAATGATTTGTAAACCATGATCTTGGTGTTGGATCTAAAGTTGTTGTCCTTGAACACCATTTTCCTCAGGAGGTTGAAGGCTGCTTTAGCACATTGGAAGCGGTGCTGGATCTCTTCATCAATATCTGCTTTGGCTGACATGAAGCTCCCTAGGTATTGGAAGTGGTTAATGTTCTGTAAGGCCTCCCTGTGGACCTAGATGATCAGGGGATTGCTCCACAATGCTGCGCCAGATTGGTGGAGGACCTTCATTTTGAAGATATTCAGGGTGAGACCCATTCTCTTATATGCCTCTATAAAGGTGCTAACAATGGTCTGGAGTAAATCCTCTAAGACTGCACATATACAAGCATCATCTGCAAACTGCAGCTCGATAACAGTAGTTGGGGTGACTTTGATTTTGGCTTGAAGGCAGCAGATGTTAAATAGTTTCCCGCAGGTTCTTTAAGTTTGCTCACCTGCAGTGAAGAGCTTGTTGGCAGTAAGGTGAAGAATTGCAGCAAGGTAGATCAGGAACAGTGTTGGGGCAATGATGAAGCCCTGCTTGACACAGGGAATGGGTCGGTGGTGAAGCCATTTGTCATTACCAAGAATTCCATGTTGTTGTAGAGCAGGTAAAGGATGTTGACAAATTTCATGGTAGTTCCTGCCCTCCTATATGGCTCTGAGATATGGACTGTCTACAGCAGACACCTCAAGGCGCTCCAGCAGTACTATCAATGCAGCCTGCGCAAGATCTTGCGAATCTGCTGGAAACAAAGATGTACCAACACCAGTATTCTTGATCAGGCCAAGATCCTGAGCATTGAGGCACTGATCACCCTTGATTGGCTAGATGGGTTGGGCATGTCATCCATATGACTGACACGAGAATCCCCGATCAGGTGCTCTACTCCCACCTTCGAAATGGCAGGCAAGCCCCAGGTGGACAGAAGAAGTGCTTCAGTGATGCCCTCAAGGCCTTACTGGCAAAGTGCTGCATTCCCACAAACACCTGGGAATAACTGGCCTAAGACCATCCAAAGTGGAGGACGTGCATCCGGAAGACATCAAGCACCTCGACTTGCGTCGGAAAAAAGTGGAAACCAGGTGAAAACAGCGAAAGGAGCACGCTGCCACAATGCCCCATCCCAGCCCTTCCTACGACTACCTTCTACAGCAAATGGAACACGGCCTGTGGTAGAGGCTTCAGTCTGTACAGGCACCTACAGACTCACCCTGAGAGTGGAAGAGAGCCATCCTTGTCTGTGAGGGACTGCCAAAGATGATGAATGATGCTGAATGATTTGTGCTTGTTTAAGTTCCGCTAAACAGGGAGAGTTATGTATCATATTCTCAGTTCTCACTGATTTTAGTATTTTCTCTCTGTATTACAATATGCAGTTCTAGTTTTGGGTCTATTAGCAATTCTTTCCTTGTGTCACAAACTGTACTGTTTAGGATAGCAACATTTTCCTGACAGCAATAACTTTTGCTTTGCAGCTTATTTACCAATTCCTGTCGTCCTTTATTTTCCTTATCCAAAGAACACAGATGTGTACTGTAATTTAACTTACTCCTTCTGTTGCTATCTCAGTTGTTCCTTTCTGAACCATTGTAGAAACCAAAACTTATCAAGGACACACTTGTAATCTTCATCACACACTTCAACGACTTCTAATACAGCTCCGATTGCTAATGCTCTTACCTTTTCTGTTAAATTGTCCATCAACTGCAGCGTAGGATATTACCATAAGATCGTAAGACATAGAACCAGAAGTAGGCCGTCAGCCTATCAAGTCTGCTTTGCCATTCAATGAGATCATGGCTGATCTATTAAACCTCAACTCCATTTTTCTGCCTTTTCTCCATAACCTCAATTCCTGAACTGATTGAAAATAAGCCTTGAATATACTTAATGACCCAACATCAACAGCCCTCTACGATAAAGGACTTCACAGATTCACTACCCTCTGAGAGAAGAAATTACTCCTCATCATTGTCCTAAATGTGCAACCTGAAATTATGCCCTCTGGTGCTAGATATTCCCACAAGGGAAACAACATTTCCACATCTACCCTTTCATATCCTGAAGAATCTTGTATGTTTCATTAAGGTTACTTCTCATTCTTCTAAATTCCAATGAGTACATGCCCAATCTACTGAATCTCCCCTCATAAAATAATTCCTCCAGACTTGCTATTAATTTGGTGAACATTCTCTGGTCTGCCTCTATTCCAGGATATATTTTCTTAGATAAGGGGCCAAAACTGTTCACAGTATTTCAGCTGTGGTTTGATTTGTGCCTTGAATGGTTTTTACAGAGCATCACTACTTTTATACCCCATACCCTGTGAAATAGAGGCCAATAATCCATTTGCCTTCCTTATTAGCTGCTGAATTTGAATAGTAGCTTTCAATTAATTATATATGAGGACTCCAAAATCTGCATTCTGTAGCTCTCTGTAGTTTTTCTCTATTCTTTCAGACAAAGTGCATAATATCACATTTTCCCATGTTATATTCAATCTGCCAATTCTTTGTCACTCACTTAACCTTTCCATATCCTTTGCAGACTCTTTGTGTCATCCTCACCACTTGCCTTCCCACCTCTTTTTGTGCTACCTGCAAACTTGGCTATAATAGATTCACTTTCCTCAGCTAAGTCATTAACATATATTATAAATAACTGAGGCCCCAACACTGATCCCTATGGCACTGTACTAGTTACGGGTTACATCCTCTTATCCCTCCTCAAAGAGTCATAGACATCTACAATACAAAAAAATGGCCCTTCAGCCTATCTGTCCATGCCAGTGAAAAACAACCACCTAACTATTCTAATTATATTCTCCAAGAGTTGGCCCATGACCTTGTATGCCCTAGTATTGCAAATGCACATCTAAATGGGCAGAAGGGCCCATTCTTGTGCTGTATAGTTCTAAATACTTCTTAATTGTTAGAGGGTTTCTGCCTCTACCAACCTTAAGGCAGTGAGTTCTAATTCCCACCATACTCTGGGTGAAAAAGTTTTTCCTCACATCTTCTCAAAAGTTTCTGCCCCTTATCTTATAATCTATGCCCCCTGGTCATTGATCTGTCCATGAAGAGGAAAAATTTCTTCCTGTCTACCCTATCTATGCCCCTCATGATTTTATACATTGCAACCATGTACCCTCTCAATTCCCTCTGCTCTAAGGAAAACAATACCAGTCTGTTCAAAATATAACACAGTGTGGAGCTGGAGCAACACAGCAGGCCAGGGAGCATCAGAGGAGCAGTTTGTTCAATCTCTCTTCATAACTTAATCTCCCTAGACTGGACAACATCCTGGCGAATCTACTGTTCACCCTCTCCATTACTATCATATAACGTGGATTCCAAAAGTGTAGTTAATAATCTAGCTGTGACTTAACCAAAGGTTTATACAGTGCCTGCTCTTAAAACTCTGTGGCTTGATGAATAAAGGCAAGTATATCTCTCTGTCTGCAATTTATATAAATACAAGATAATCAAGCAGAGTCGGCATTATCTTGTGATTCAGAAATCATGTTTAACTAATTTTATTAGACTTCTTATATGTTGTGGATAAAGGGGAATAGTGCGTCTCCAGAACTTTAAGAAATGAAATGACTCAAAGTTATTTTGAAAAATAAAAGCTCATGGTGTAAAGGGTACTATATTGGCATGGATAGAATATTAGCTGGCTAACAGGAAGCAGAAAGTGGGCATACAAAGGTCTTTTTCAGGATGGTAAGATATATTGAGTAGTGTGCCACAAGGATAAGTGCTGGGATCTCAGCTGTTTTCAATTTATATAAAAGACTTGGATGAAGGGACAGAGGTTATGCTTGCCAAATTGTTAATGTTTGGGAGAATTAGGAAAGTAAGTTGTGAAAAGTACATAAGGAGGTAACAAAAAGGAATAAGTAGGTTAAGTGAGTAGGCAAAATCTGCCAAATGAAGTATAATGTGGGAAAACGTAAAATTGCTCATTTTGGCAGGAAGAATAAAATGGGGATAAATTGCAGAGCTTCGAGATACAGAACGATCTGGTTGTCAGAAAAGGCTAATATACTGGTACAGCAAGTAATTGGGAACCCAATGGAATTTTGTTTATTTATTGCAAGGGGAATGCCACTCGTGAATAACATAAAAGATGAAGCAAGATTATCTCAGTATCGAGATGGGTCTCACTGGATTTCTCATCCAATTTTGCCATTCATCTCTCCATAGCCCAGATCACTCAGGCCCCTAAAAGATTTTGCCCTTTGTTTCATTTGGTGCCTCATCATCATTTCCTTTGGTCATCCATAGTTACTTTCTTTGACAAATAAAGAAAATAGCAGGTCTTGCAAACATGATCAAAATAATTTCTACATGTTTAACAAAAATTGCATTGCAGTATATATGGTGCATTCTGTTTGCTAGAATGATGCAGCATGGTAATACTTGAATTTGTAGTACTACAACTATTTTTCAGGACCCTTGGTGTAGTGTATAAATGCATTGGCCTCAACACTGACAGAAAGAGGCAGAAAGGAAGATTTTATTACAACAAGCAAGAGTCAAATTACAAAACATTTTAAAGCATTTTTTTTAAACTGAGGTCAATGAAACCAGAAGCTGGTTTATGGGCTCCATTAAATAAAATAAAAAACGGAAGTACACTTGTCAATAAAATCCTTCTATATTTCAAATACCTGAAACTAATAAAAATGCAAATTCACATCTGTTTTCAAGATAGTGGGACAACATAACACAACCATATATAAACATAATCATGACACTATGTGGATGTTCTATCTGAACATGAAGATGAAGTCATTTAGTTAAATGAATATTTTCCAGTTTATTTAAGAAAGAAACAAACAGTAGAAATTATGTTAAAGGCACACTTCTAGCTCAGCCATAATAATATCAATCTCTTTCAACTGATTTGTGATTTCTTCAATGCACTTCCCAGTCTTAAATTTTATTCCATCAATTAATATGCAATCTTCTTCATCATCTGTGGAAACTTTCAGTTCGGTCTCTTGAAAAGCTGTAGCTTTCCAGTCAGATAACTAAAAAAAATGGAAGTACACTTGTCAATAGAATCCTTCTATATTCAAATACCTGAGACTAATAAAAATGGCCGATTCACATTTGTTTACAAGGTAGTGGGACAAGATAACACAACCATATATAAATATAACATGACACTATATGGGATGTTCTTCCTGAACACAGACCTCAGCACATTCTCTGCTAATCTTCATCGTGAGCTATTTTCTTGACTTTTTTTTATTAGTAGTGGTTTGTTACTGCTTTTTGCTCTCAAGGCAGCCCAAAGAGGTAGGCTGTAAGTCTGCCTTAGCCAGATGGAAAACAAGCTCACGCTGTTGTTATTATCTGCTAGCCATCCAGGCAACTGAGCTACTGACCCCCACAATCATGGTGGATTAACAATAAATAAGTGAAAGAACCAACAGTGAGCATGATAGGAACGGGTCCTGTCACTATGATCAATGACAGCAAAGCCTGCTGTCAGAGAAAACTTGAAAATAATAAATGAAAATGTAGAAAATGCGGAATGAAAAACTTCTAAAAAATGCTTGTTTATTACCTTATTCACAATGAAAAGCATGAATAATATGGTTAGCTGAGTCCATTTCTCAGGAAAGGTAAACAATACCTCAGTAAAACTAAGGCTTCAAAATCAATCAAATGGAAGCCTTGGACAAGTTAAACTGGTTTAAGAGAAATAAATCCTCAAGGATGGATGATACTTATCCTATTATCCTGGAGTGATTACTTTGATATTGGTTCTTGGGGTGTGAACATTTTGGGCAAAGTCAATCTTTATTGTATGTCTCTGATTGTTCTTGATAAGAAGGTGATGATCTGCCTTCTTGAACCGCTGCAATTCACTTGGTATAGTGCTTCAAAATTCACTTGGTATAGTGCTTCAAGGAAGGCAGTTTCTGGACTTTAATCCAGTGACAGTGAAGGAACAGCAATATATTTCCAAGTCAAGATAGTGTGTGACTTGGAGGGAATCTTGCATGAATTTCTCTAGTGTTCATATTCATCAGCAGCCCTTGTTCATCTAGATCGTAGAAGTTGAAAGTTTGGAAGGTGCTGTAAAAGTATTCCTGGTAAACTGTCATGTTGCAGATGCAGGTTGTAGATGATACACAGTAACAATTATGCCTTGGTGGTGGAGGCAGTGCATTTTTAAAGTGGTTGTTGGAATGCCGATCAAGCAGGATGCTTTATTTTGAATGGTGTCAAGTACTGCTGTATTGCTGAAATTTCACTGACCTGGGCAAATGGAGAGCATTCTTTCACATTCCCTACTTGTGTCTAATTGATAAAAAAACTGATTCTGGCAAATCAGGGAGGTGAAATACTCTAGCCTCTGACCTGTTCTTGTAGCTACAATATTTATGTGAGTTGTTTGGTTAAATTTCCGATCAATGGTAATGCCCAGAACTTTATGATGGGATATTTCAGTGTTGTTAATGTTAGTAAGATTCCAACCATTAAATCCATACCAGATTTCCCATCACAAATACTCCTTGACCTATATCATTCAATACAGACCAGAAACAAATAACCTTTGCTGAACCACATTATCCAGCAATACAGCAACATAATAAAAAAAAGGAATAATCATTCCTGTGAATTTCCTTGTGCCTTTGTTGTGGATGTCTTGCTTCTTACACAGTGCTGCCTTAATAAATGTAGCATGACTCGTAGAAGGCTGCCAACTTTCACTGGGAAAGATTGCAAATGCATTTGCTGAATGCACTCAAGCAACTTTGAAGCCAAATCACCCTGCTTTGGACTGCACTAATTCAGCATGGGCATCATGCAGTTTTGGCTGGCTGACAGAAAGGCAAAAGAAGAATACTCATGGCATGGTCGCAATGGAAACAGGAACGTTGTTATCCCTGGGAGAGAACAGCATGTTCATGCTCTATGATCCCACTGTCATTATCTCAGAAATCCTAGTAATCTGTTGGGAGTATAAATTGCTGGATAGCCAGAAAAGCCTTGCTGCCACTTTGGGCATTGAGATCATAATGGCAACAATCTGAACCTGCATGACAAAAATCATGGAACTCAGGACCTTTAGCTGAGCTTTCACCGTGGCATTGAGTTATTGGGTGGCTTTTGTGATTGCTGCATTGGAAGATGAAAAAGCAAACACCAGCCTTGTTTATTGTTAAATTCAACATACCCCCAGCATTTCCTTACCAACAATCACCATCAGTGAAAACTCAACGATGCTATTCTTATGTTTACCTCACCCTCCCACAGTTAGAACTGTTGGCAAGTGTAATGATCCCATACCAGACTGCCAAATTTGAATAATGATTTAGTTAGGGACAAACAAGTTTATTGTTTATATGAACAAAATTTGAAATTCCAACTACTTTCTAATAGAATAGCATCGCAAGATACCATTACTTTAAAGCAAATAAATTAAACTTTATTATACAAAGTTAGAAAAGTAAACAATTTACAATATCTATCTTATACTTGCACATGCAGAATGAGCACAAAAAAAAACCGGAATGACAGACAAATTGTGGCCGAATGCGCCACACTGCACAATGAAAGGCAGATGCAGCCAACACAAATCCGACAGATCTGTCAACAATTCACTGAGACGTCAAAAAAACTAAGTCATAAAATTTTATTCACAATTTTCCCTCCTCCTCGGGGATTTCAATTTTTTACATCCAAAGATTCAAACTTTGATTTTCCCTCAAATACCATTCTGACTTAGACCTTCTCAATGTTTGCTCACTTCCCAGTAGTTTAATCTCCTACAGTGAGTGCGATCCTTTAGAGTCATCAGGCTGCACTCCAACTCATTAGGCCCTCTAAGCAGAACAGTACTTATTGAAAGGGTTACTTTTGCGCCATCAGTCAGCAGCACAAAGTCAAAAGATCTTCAGCTGCCTTCCCAGCTCCAAATAGTTTTGTCTGAGTCTCAACTGTACTGAATGGCCAAGTGGGATTCTCCTTCGGTCCACCCTTGGCAGCTCCCAGGATTTCTGAGCCCGAATTGTCTGGAGCTACTAATAATATTGCATATTCATATAGGACTTCTTCCTCTGATCTTCTCCCAATGGTTTCTCTTCTGGTTATCTCTTTCAGCGGTCTCCTGGTGGTCTCTACTCTTCTATGGAATGGGACTCTCATGCTGCCATACAGTGTCTTGTGGTCTTTGCTTTTACATGTCACCCCACCATGCAGGCATATGTTTCCTCTTACATAGCTGTAAAAAAAGAGCATGAACAGAGTTTTCACAGCCTGTGATATAAACATACTCACTGCATGCTCCAAAACTCTTGGGTCTACCAGGAATTAGAGTCCTCAGCCTCTACCCAGTAGAGAGTAAGTTCAAGTTTCATAACACAAGCCTCATATTTTCAACTTACATACACTGGAAGTTATTCAACCGTGGCAGCCACATCATCCAAATATATTTCAGGACACTGACTGGAACATTTCCCTTTATTACAAAGGCAGCTGTTGAAAATCAAGCAGCAGTAGGAAAAAAGTTAGAAGAGAACAAGTGCACCTTTATGTTTAATTTTCATGGAGAAGATGGTACTGACTGCCATGAGAAGGCACATCATTGAAGCAACTAATAATGAGGATATAAGCATACCTAATTCTCCTTCTTTTATTTGAAATCTGCGACCAGACACTTTTAGGTAAATCTCTATCTGAACAGTGGGACACATTCAAGTAGGAAATAGTGAGAGTATAGAGCTATTATGTTCCAATAAAGTATGGGAGCAACAGATCTAGCAAACTCTGGATGTTGAAGAATATACAATATTTGATATGGAGAAAAAGAGAGGCTTATGGTAGACACTGAGGGCTCAAAATAGCAGAAGCTCTGGAGAATATCGAATATAGAAGGAATGTAAAAAAACCAGGAAATTAGGAGAGAAAAAAGGGGGCATGAAAGAATGATGGCAGGTAAAATAAATGATCCCAAATTAATTTTCAAGTACATTAAGCATAAAGAGATAACTAGGGAAAGAAGAAGGCTCATTAAGGACCACAGTGGTAATTTGTACATGGAGACAGACGACATAGGTAGAGTCCTCAATGAATACATTTTGTCTGTGTTCACTAGTGAGAGGGAAATGTGGGTACAGAAATCAGAGAGAAAGACTGTAATATACTTAAAGACATTAGCATGGACAGTGAGAAGGTTCCGGGTGGTCTGGCAGGCTTAAAAGTAGATAAATTATCAGGGCCTGATGAAATGTATCCCAGGCTGTTGAGTGAGGCAAGGCAGGAAACAGCAGAGACACTGGCAATAAGTTTCAATTCCTCTCTGGACACAGGAGAGGTGCCAGAGAAAAGAAACAACTAAATAAACAGGAGAAGGAGTACACCATACAATCTTTTGAGCCTGCTCTGAGATTCATTACATTCATGGCTAATATCTTGCCTTTTTCCCAAACAATCTTCAATCCTTTAATTTCCTGAGAGAATAAAACTCTTTGTTTCTTTACTAACACCACTACTTTGCCTTTTGTTTAAGGACAACTTTGTCAGTTGATCTCTCCTGCCCTCTATGAATTAAAGACACAAAAGCAATTATCGAGAGTTTAAATCACACAATCAGGCATATTTTATAAAAGGAAAATAATCAGATGACCAGTAATCAGATAAAATAACATTTAGCAATCAACATTCAACAATAAACAGTAGACTGAATAAAATCCTCATGCTTTAATGGTGTTATGTCATTTATAAACATACCTTATATTCCTGATGTTTTTTGCTGCATTCTTGCTTTTCCATCATGAATGATTTAGTACACATGTCAGATTCTTTAATTTGCTTCAGCATTTCTTCTAAATCTTGCATTAAGTTTTCTGCCTGTAAAACATCTAATGAAATATATATTCCCTCAATCTACTATGACTATATTGTATCTAGTTGTTTATGATATTTAAATTATGATTTAGAAAAAGGTGTCTGAATTAAATGCTACATTTGTTTAGGGTGTGTGTGAGGTTGATGCAGATCACTGACAGCATAA